CCAAATGAAGCCATTGTTACCCAGAATAACTGAGGCACCACATGGCAAGTCATGGAAGTGAGTCTTCTGCCGTTTTACCAGGGAGGGAGAAACCTGGACCAAAACACCCTGGCCTAGCTAAGAGAGAAAAACACGTTGTAAGTCATTGTAGGATGACCATGATTTGAATGGGAAGTAGGTGACACAGTAAGCATTTTTACAAAGAAAACTTGTTTATACATTCCAACAGAAGGTAATTTTTAATACTCTTCTCTGTCATTTTCCTTTTCAAATCATTACACTCGAATCCAGGACTGGTGAGTTGGCTTTTAGACGTTGGTGTTAATAAGGATATGGGTTCAACCTTCTTGTAGGCCAAGGAGCACTATTATGATCCATGACCCTGGATCATACATGTGAGATGTCTGCCACTAGCCTAGGAAGGGCAGCACACTCAGGGCAGCCATCTGTCTCTCGTTACAAGGACTTGAAAGTGGTTGGCTGTAGCCACTGGAGTTCAACCAAGAAAATGAAGTTTCACCTTCATTTTAGGAGATTTGCTGTCTTACAATATAAATACCCTCACTAACATAACCTCATATAAGAAAAAGTGAGATTTCTTTTGGGTACTCCAGTGACACATTAATCTTGCTTAGAAATATTATCTATTTTTTTTTTATTAGATGTTCCAAGTGCTGAGATTGCCCTGTTTCGTCATCCTTTATAGTGTTACTGACCCACGGCCATGTGAATCCTGACCTTCCTTGAAATCCTGGGAACACTGATAATAGTGGGATGCCAGCCTTGAATGTTTAACCTGAGGCTCTTTGGGTCAGAATTCCATAAGAGTGTTAAGACATTCAGAAATGGACTTGAAGTCTTGGTCAACAAACAAGAACAAGAGTCCAACTTACTTTTCCATACTTTAGACTCCTTGTGTGAAGAGAAACAGCTCCATCAGAGAACACTGCCTGGACCTCAGCCTGGCCAGGGTGGTGAAGGAAAAATAGCAGCTTCAGTTGCTCACATTCATGTGACCTACCTCTCCCACATCCCTGGCTCCAATGTCTCTATCATTTCATTTCCAACAGTCCCACTGAGCAGTCTTAAAGTCCAGAGGACACTACTGTGACTTGACCTCTTCCTTTCTGGTTGTCAATCCTTTCTTAATTTTTTTTTTTTTAAATCTCAAAAAGCTAAACCATCATTTAGAAAACTTGAGTTTAGCCTATGCCTGGGTCTGAACAAGAACTGGAGGTCAGTCTGAAGGAAGGAGATAAAGAAAGGCTGTGGCAGAGTCTGTGACACTTCATCTGGGCCTCAGACACTTGTCAGGGCCACATGCTTCTCTTGTCAGACAGACAATTTCAGCCCCATTTCCCAGCTCCATTTTAAAGCAGGAAG